GATGTTGTTCCACATGCTGAGTGCAGCGTAGAAGATCCCCACACTGGTTCCAGGCTAATGAATGCCTGTCTTACTGTCTTTCCGATTCTGACTTTGACATCCTCGCCTGTGCCTGTGCCGCCTGTAGTTGAGACAGTGCTTCCTAGATAGGTGAAGGAGGCTACTTCCTTAAAGTTTCGCCCGTTGATGGTGATTGGAGTTTGATGTTGTTGTTGTTGTTGTTGGAGTTGTTGGTGAGGTATCTTCATCACCTCCACCTCTGTCTTCTCTATATTCACTTGAAGTCCCATCTTCGCTGGCCTGCCCTGCCTCTTCTGTCAACTTGTTGAACTTTGCCTGTAGATCTTCAAGTTTGTGTGACATCAGACACAGGTCATCATTGGCGAAATCCATATCTTCTAGGTTCCTATCCACAGTCCAGCCAACGTATCCCCCTCTTCTCACAGCTCCCCACTGTTTGCTGCATGATCCAGTCCAGTCCAGTCGAGTCGAGTCGATCACAATGAGGAATATCATGGGTGATAGTAGGCGGCAACCTTGTTTCACTCCTGTCTTCACTTCACTTCAAAAGCATCACTGAGCTTCCCACTGTGAATTACTTGGCATGTGGCATTTTCATATAGGTGTTGTTGAATGAGTCTGATAAAGGTTTGCGGTACTCCGTAGTGTTGAAGCAGTTTCCAAATTACTTCTCAGTCGACGCTGTCAAAAGCCTTCTCAAAGTCGATGAAGTTGAGGTGAGGTAGAGTTGAGTTGACTGCCATTCTATACTCTGTTCTATGATGATGCGTAGAGTGGCGTTGCAATTTGGTCTGCACATGATTTGTACCTCCTGAAGCCTGCCTGTTCAGGTCGTAGTTTTGAATCCAATGCATCCTTAAGCCTCTCCAGGACGATGCGGCTTAATATTTTGCTTGCTCTGAGTGGACAGGAGAGTGATTCCGCGCCAGTTCCTGCAAACACTGAGGTCTCCCTTCTTCGGCATTTTGACAAGGTAATCCTCCTTCCAATCAATGGGCAGGTACCTTCCCTTCCTTCATTTCAGACCTTCTGCAATAGTGGTGTGGTGTGGTGTGAGCATGTTCGCTGTTGTCTCTGCGTGTGCTTTCAGTGCTTTTGACGGGATCCCATCTGGTCCTGCTGCATTCCTGCATTTCAGTAGCTTTATGGTGTTTAGGACTTCCACTTTCGTTGGAGGATTTATGTTCACTTGTAGTTCAGCGGCTGCAGGTGGTATTTGTGGAAGTGCAGGTGGTGGTGGTCGATTCAAGAGCTTCTTGAAGTGGTTGGCCCTTTGTTTCCTCTGTTTCTCTTCTTTCGTAATTAAATTTCCGTCATCATCTTTCATTGGTTTCGTCTGCGTTGATCTATTCCCTCCCAGATAGCAACCTGGTTATTTGATACAATGTTGTCAGGTCTCTGTCTCTCCTACCTGCAGCCTGTTCTGCTTCACTTGCCAATGTGTCGTAGAAGTGTCTTTTGTGTTTGTGTGCACTCTTCTTCTTCACTTCTTTGTCCAGTGTGTTGTTTTATACGTTGTACTCAGTTCCTCCCCTCGTTGTTCATCCTTGCACTGGTTTATCTTCTGCTTCACCATCCTCCTCTCCCTGCTCTATCAGCTTCCATGTGGTGATCCATCGAGATCCATTCCTTATCTTCTTTCTTCTTACTTCCTTCCTAATACGCTTGGTTATGCAGGTTTCTTTCCACATCTCCTTCAAAGACTTCCAGTGTTCTTCCACACAGGTTTCTTCAGGGATGCTGCTCGATATCTCTCATTTTGTCTTGATGACTGGCTGACGTGGAGATTTCATTTGTAGTTTCGTCCTTCAGTTCCTGTTCCGAGTGTTGTACTGAACTGTGGTCTATCATCACCAGCTTCCTTGAAGGCTTTCAACTTGATTTGGAAGGTTCCTTGCACTAGATGGTGGTGTGAGCCTACATCTGCTCCTGTTCTTGACCTTGTGTCAAGTAGGCTGACTGCGTCTCCATTTTCTTGAGATTCAGATGAAGTCGATGTGATTTTTAGTGTAGTGTGTCCTAGTGTCTGGTGAGTTAAAATCCATGTCGCTGACTTGTGGATATCCTTGTGCTTGAACACACTGCCTCATTGCAATCAGCAAATCGTTGAATGCACAGAATTCCGCAAACAATTCTCCATTCTCGTTCATCACCTCACCGAGTGCTTCTCGACCCATGGTTGGTTCTCTCCGTGTGTTGTCTGCTCCCAGTTTGGCATTCATGTCGTCTATTAGAATGGATTTTGATGTTGCCAACTGAGGTCTTGTCCAGTGTTGATTGCAGTTGTCTGTAGAATTCCTCCTTTTCCTCTTGGTCTGCATTATTTGTAGGTGCGTAGTGTAGCGTAGCATAGCATTGTACGATTGTGACCTTCCTTCCTTCCTTTTGAGTTGAATGCATTTTGCTGTCATGATGCTGCAGGAGGAGATTGGTTTCCACTGCATGAAAGCCTTTGATGCTCTTCAAGGGGACATCATGATAGCCACTCCAACACACAGTGTGCTCATGGTTTGAATCTGGGTGACAATATCGGAGTAGATTATTGATTCTTCAGTTGACAGTTTGGACAGTCCACTCCCATTCCATCTGCTTTCACAAATTCCATGCACTTCAATGTGATACCTGTTCATCTCGTTTGCAATCTGAGCTGCCTTGCCGGGTTCGAACATCGTGTGGACATTCCATGTCCCCACATTTACTTTTGCTTTCATCGAGGGAGAGAAGATACATCGGCCAATTGGCTTCCCTACTGCATGCCTTCACCAACTGGCGACATTTCGCCTCTCCGATTGCAGCGAGGAATAATTTTGTTATTATTTTTTATATGTTGTTTGTGCTTTGAAGTTTTTTAGTGGTTGGATTTGTTTTGCGGGGTAGGTTTGCTAGCCGTATGCCCAACCTTCCCTCTTTACCGGGGCTTAGGGCCGGCTTGTAGCCAGTGGACTAGTTAGACGGGCGAGGTTGTCATGACCACTTAGTCCACTGTAAAAGTAGGGAACTTTTGAGGGTTTCCGCATACTTTTTATGCGGGATCTGATTGGCCCGTAAGGAGTGTGAAGCATGCACAGGTTATTTGAAATTACCTCAAGATCATTTGGCACACGAAAACGGGAAGCTCAACCCAACTAATGCTGTCGCAGGATATTGAGAAGAACGAATGGGTTCGTATTCCTTAATGCCTGTCCTGAGATTCGGCCACTTCATTATCATCACCTGTTTGTTCTGCCAGCGCAGCCTGTACTTATCCTGTCCGCATAATTACGTAATTTATTCAGGAATGGCTCAATACACTCAGCGTTCAACGATGAAACATGACCTAGGAATTTTCTACCGAAGATTCTAGCTTTTATTCGCCTGCTAATTTTGATAACCTCACTCAAACAGCACTAGCCTGAAGTTAAGACTATGCATTCTGTAGATTTCTAGTATTGTCCTCTTACGAAAGAAGCACAATACATGTTTGTCCACTGTTCAGATCTTATCGTTTCAAAGAGTTACAAAATCCCTGAGAGGTCTGCTGGGAACAACTTTAAAATAATAATTCGGCAATTCTCTGTACTTCACCTTGAAACTTTATGTACAACTGTCGTAAAAGCAGACATATCATAAGCTATGGAAGATGAACTAGCGTAACGAACAACGAGTATATTCCTCGTAATTGATCTTATGCAAACTAGACAACCACAAAGGCGGATTACCAATTGTTCGTACCTGCTATAAACGCGCGAGTGAGAGACCAAGAAAAAACAATAGGGTAACCAGGAGGAATGGCATATTCGACACCTCATGCAAAAATACGGGTGCGCTTCGACTAGCTGGCCAGGGGATCACGTACAGGGGGAGGGGGGTACAACTTAGAACAACGTGTCAAATGGCCTGGATGTTTGGCCATGTGGTTTCAGTTTAGCCAGTCCATTAGATCCATGAGGATCAGCATCAACGTTGAATCTTACCAAACATTAGGCCGTTGATATTGCGGGATTATTCGCCACTGAACTGTCTTATGGCCTGTCTGTTGTCGCCAAGTGGAACCTATCACAGAGAATTCCATAACCTTCACGTCACTCAATCTGTCACACGATAGCATACATTGTGAGTTACGGCAGCAAAACCTGCAATGTTTTCACTCAGACTTAACAGTTGAATTCGGTTACCTAATAATAAATCCTTTATAAGCACACCTAGCTGTACCCAATGAACCCCCAACGTTGGTCCTACTACCTCCGCTTCGCATAAGATTCTTTTGAACCTGGTTAGGATCAAATCAGGTGTTTGAGAAGGCAGCAGCCCATGGTGAGAAACGCCGTAGATTCCTGTGAAAATCGAAAATTCGGATCACTTGATGTGACCAGCCTGACGCCGTGACCGGAGTGAAGGCTGCGAGCGTGAAAGCCGTGCTAAATATAATGCTAACTGACATGAGTGGAATAGAACAGCCGGGGCCTACTCTTCGGGTCAAGCTGATTCTAATACTGACTGCCGTTTTTCTCCCTTAGAGCAGTGGTGAGTTTTCTAACCAAGAATAGTTTGGTTGGTAAGCACCTGGTTTACTCTTAGTTATGACCTGTTGTCCCAAGTATTTGAGCAAGATTTGAATGTTACGAACTACTCGGCTTAGCCGAATCGATCGAGACACCGCTGAAGCTAGGTCTCAAGAGGATGAAACGGTTATCTAGCGCTTAGATCACTTCGAACTGGCTGGCAGGAATAAATAATATATTTGAGTGGTCTACAAATACTCATTTTAGTCAGCGGCACATTTTGAAACGTCTCAGATTCGCTGTTCGTAAGCAGTATTTTGTGCTGATATGTATAAGATGGAAAACAATGAAAAGCTGTAAAGCAGTGAGAAGCTAGGAGAGTACAAGAAATCTAGGCAGAGGTTAAATTGCATACAATTTCTTTTGTTGGTTGTTCATATTGGAAATTCTTTGAACATTTAGCTATACCGCTATTACAAACGACCTTTAAGCCCGCGGATGTCATCGATCCAAAGTCTGGATGGTCTTTTGCAAGGTTAGTATCGTGTATTTTTTTTTTTCGGTTTGTATCTTATTGTTGCTCTTATGTACGCACTGCTACCGAAATTCCGTTTTATTATAGACGAAAATGGATCCCAAAAAAGATGAAAGTGTTGGAAGCAAGCTGAAGAAACTGTTTAGTTCCAGGGATCTCAAAGAAAAATATAAAGATAAAAATGGGAGAGATGTAAGGAGTAATGAGTCCTCAACGGTATCTTTAAATGTGGGTGATATGAGTGCTGAAGAGATTGAAGGAAGGTTCATACAAATGCTTGAAGATATGAATTTGTCCAAAGAACAAACTATATCTCTAAGAGAAAAACCATTAAAAACTAAACTTGAGATGCTCGAAACATATGGGAAAAAGCTTGTGTCTACCAAGAATTCTCCTGAATATTGTTCGAAATTTTTGTTGGTTCCTCAAAATTATTCGCCAAAGCAACTCTTGAGTGCGTTAGAGAATCTTCGTGTCAACTTATTAAATAACGGTGTAAGTTGGGTTCGTGAATTTAACAATGACTCTAACAACGGCCTAAACAACCTGCTGCACTTTTTGGCTCTTACCTTAACAAACTACTATCCAAATTGTGCTCTTCCATGTTTACGTTGTATCCGGGCTCTCGGTAACTGTGGTTATGGGTTGTATGCCTTAGTAGACCATGAAAGTGCATCAACTTTCATTGCAAGGTGTTTGAATTCTGACCAGTCACAACTAGTGGAGTGCGCCATCGAGCTGCTCTCCAGTATTGCTTTATGTAACGCTAAGGGTTATAGAAATGTACTGGAAGGATTAACTGTGAGCGCTGGACTCAATGGGGCACCAAGTGAACGTTTTCTGCCCCTTGTCAGAGCTCTTCGTTGTCCAGAACTTGCACGGGCTTCATTGCAATTCATTAATGTCCTCGTAAATGGGAGTTGTCTTGATGAGAATTCCTTCGATGTTGACTACAGAGTTCATTTACGATTGGAATTTAATAGCCTAGGCATTGGTAAAATGATTGGCAAACTTGAAATGTCACAAGACGCTGATATTCAAAATCACGTATCTATTTATCGCTCCAGAGCTGAACAAGATTTGGATGAAGTTTTTGAGAGACTAGATGCTGTGAAGTGCGATTTGGACGACCCTAACCAGATTTTCCATATTATTCACCGAACTATTGCTGGCACAAAATCAGAAAGACATTTCTTATCAATATTACAACACTTTCTGTTCATTCGCGATGAGCCATACAGACTAGCTTACTTCACTCTTCTAGAAGAATTGATTGGCCAGGTTTTAATACAAAACGATGGTGTTGATCCTGATCCACATATGAGTATTCTGCGTCTGGACGTTGAAGCTACTGTCACATTACTATTAGATGCGTTAAAGGAAGCTGACGCTTCCGCCCGGGTTGAGGAACTACAAACGAAATTAGACGCCGCCCTACAAGCTAAACTTGAAGCAGAAGCTAAAGTGCAGACATTGCAGACCAAGTTAAGTAGTGAGGAAACATCTAAAATAAAACCTCCTCCAGGACTAGAAGGAAAACTTAGTTCCACAAACTCAAGTCCTCCAAGCATTCCTCCTCCACCACCTTTAAAGGTTGATGGTATCCCTCCGCCGCCACCCATTTTCCCCCCAAGTCAGAGTATACCACCACCTCCACCTATGGGGGGCGGTATTCCTCCACCGCCACCTATGGGAGGGGGGGTTCCTCCTCCACCACCTATGGGGAATGGCATTCCTCCACCTCCATTCACTTCACAACCACCTAAACTTGCACCACCAGAAGAACTTCCTTTCGGCATGAAGCCAAAAAAGAAATACGTACTGGACGTCCCAATGAAGAAAGCTAACTGGGAGAAGATTAAACCTAATATGCTTGATAAAAATTCTGTTTGGGTTCAACTTCATGAGGATGAGCTTGAGTGTAGTGATTTGCTGAGAAATTTGAGTATGCAGTTTAGCACAAAGCCAGCCAAAGTAATGATAACTGATTCTACATCAAACGGGAAAGTGGCTGGTGAAAGTTCGCAAGGTATTCAGTCTCGTAAAGTAAAAAAGCTGAGATATCTAGATGATAAAGTTGCCCAGAACTTGTCTATCCTCCTTGGGTCAATTAAAGTGCCATATGATGAGCTTCGCCGTCGCATCTTGACTGTGGATGAAAGTTTGTTAACTCCAAATATGGTGGAACAGTTAGTCAAGGCTTTACCCGAACCATCAGTTATTTCGAAGATCTTTACACTCAAAGATGAGTATGATACATTGTCAGAACCTGAACAGTTTGTGTGCACAGTAAGCGATATCAAAAAGCTCGTGCCTAGACTAAATTCAATTTTATTTAAAATGCGATTCGATGAGAAATTACATGAAGTGAAACCTGAAATAGTTGATGTCGACGAAGCACTTCAGGAAATTCACTCTAGCAAGCACTTCAAACGCATCCTGGAGTTAGTTTTGCTACTAGGCAATTACATGAATGCGGGTTCACGGAATGCGGAGGCAGTGGGGTTCGAGATTAGCTTCTTAACAAAGCTAGAGGCGACGAAAGATGTTTCAAATTCTCAAACTTTGCTTCATTTTTTGGTTGACTCTTTGGACCGAAAATTTCCAGAAACTGTCAAGGGATTCTTAGATGATTTTTCACACGTTGGACGTGCTTGTCGAGTATCTGAAGACAACGTAAAAGCCAACATTGCAGAAATGAAAAAATCCGTTACCAATATTGAGATCGACTTAAAAACATACAAGGTTCAAGACCCTAGCGATAATTATATGTCTGTCATGCAAGATTTCCTTATTTTGGCTAAAGAACAGGTGTCACAGGTAGAAATGATGCACAAACGTATGCAAGAGAAGTTCTTGACAGTTTCTAAATACTTAACTTTCGATCCTAACAAGTATCACATGGAGAATTTGTTTTCTGATTTAAAAGATTTTCACGCTGCATTCAAGCGCTCTGCTTCTGAGATGAGTAAAAAGCGTGCATTAGAAGAGAAGATGATAAAGGCACGAGAGGAACAAGCTCGACGCCAGCGTGAACGTGAACTAAAGGTTACTTTGAACAGTCCTGGACCCAGAGCACCCACGGAAGAGGAAGGGAATGTCATCGATAATTTGATGGAAGCTTTAAAGTCTGGTGCTGCTTTTGCCAGTGGTGGTGAAAGGTCTGCAGCCAAACGTAATCGCAATCGTATAAGTCCATCAGGAGCAGGTATGACATCAGTTGCCTCACCATCTATCATTCAGCAAAGGCATTTAATGCGTGCTAGGTCTCGTAATTATGGTGACTTATCTCGCTCAGTTGTTGATGTAGTGTAAATTACGTAACAGTTCTACTCCTTCGTAATTGCATACATTAAGCGCCGTAAATGTTTCTGTAAACGAATTCGGTATATACCTACTTTTTAACGTAAACTGGTCAGATTCGAATATGTATATTTCATTTTTATTGTATGCACAGCCTTTTCAATCCTTTCATTTCTAGCTTTGTGTAAATTTTTACGTGAAAATGAACATTTTTGTATTACGAAAACAGAATATGATTTTTCCTAGATACTTCATTTGATTATTTACTGTCTTAAGTGCATTGTATCTGTGGTGCAGAGTTTAAATCGTTGACACCAATCTTTCTTACTCTGTCCTTGGATTTGTTAAGCATTGAAAAGTATATTCCATATACAGACTTATACATAAGTTTGTAAATGCAGTCTTTGTTGCATATGCTAGTTTTTCTGGAGGTTTATTTCCGGCTGACCTGTGTATAGTGGTCCACCGTCGACCTTTGTGTGTAAGTCAGAGTTTGAATGGATCTATTTTTTCACCGCTGGACTAAAACAAATAGCCCATGGAGATTTCGAATATCAATGTAACCAAGTGTTTATGGTTTGACAAACTTTAGTTCCTATCTGAGGACCGGTGTCATAAACGAAGAGTCTACCACGGATATTAGAACGTTGTCACAGACGATTATTGAGACAAATATCCAGAATTGTTCAGTGCATGGTATTTTATAGAGCAGTAATTATTTTATAACTGGTGGTTAAAAATAGTGGTGGTAAAATAGTTTTTTGGTTCGTAAAATGCATTTCTTTTTATGTTGTCTTCCCGTTATGAGAAGAGGTGGTTAGATTAGGTCGCCTTTGCCTTTCATTCTTGAGTTTCCGATGACAGGTTTACTTGACGTACGTAAATAATCATGTTTAAGCTAACACTAATGGGTGGATAATTGACCTTTTATAAGTAGTGTACAAGTCGGGAAACAGACTAGCATCAAGGGAATCTTAGGTTTATGGAGTATAGTTGTCGTCAGCCTTTTTGACATCATAACATAGTAACGTACAACCAAAAAATTATTACCGGCCATTAATCTCAGTGATCTTCAACAAACTTGGTAATCCATGAACTATCCGAGCAAAACGAAAGACAAAAGATGAGACGCAGTGATGAGAAATGAGAGCAGTAGCGAAGGCATCAGTAGTAAATTGTATTTATCAAATATATATCAAGGCTACACACTAAGAGTAGTGATTTTTTCATATCAATCAACTGCCAAGATGAACAATTGGAATAGCTAAGGCAGTTTAACTGATTTCCGCTCACTATTCTTTGGAACTCCATGGAAAAACGTTAACGTTAGCCCCTGAAATATGATTTCGAATGGATAGTAAAAAAACACACAGAAAGACGTTATAGCTGTACCTAACCATGTACCCTACTATTTATAAGATCATAGTTCAGAATTACCATTAAGACCAATGTATTAGGTGGACGTAAAAGATGGGCATAGTTCCGCCATCATATATCAATCCTCTCAGTTTACTTAAAATTTTTATGTGATATCTGTGGGTGAATTGATGTCAGTAACATTTCCAAAGTCTTCAGGGCTACAGTTATTGGTAAGTTTGTTTCAGCTTAGAGCGACTCCCGGGAAGAGTAGACTGCTTCCAGACTGCAGCATGAATGCGTCAGTCAACTTCCCGAAACAGATTCGGAATATTCATACT